GGGGAGGGAAGAGGGGAGGAAAAAGGGGGGAATGGGGATTGAAGTCAAATTTCTTACATGTCCAAAGAAACCCAACTGCTATGTTAATTATAATGCTGTGCTGAAAAAAAAAAGTCCTGTATGTTTTGTTAGACTTATTCCTAAGTAATTCATTTTTTGAGCAATTATAAATAGTAAAGTATTTTAATTTGGGTATCCAGATGTTCACTGCTAATATGTAGAAATACAGTTGATTTTTGTGTTTATTTTGTACGAGGTAACACCGCTAAACAGTCATTACCTTTTTCATTGTTTCCCCATGACACATTCTCTTGCTGCTCTCAAGATTTTCTCTTTGCTGGGCGTGGTGGTGCAYGCCTGTAATCCCAGCAGCATGGGAGGCTAAGGCAGGAGGATCTCGAGTTCAAAGCCAGCCTCAGCAACTTAGTGAGGCACTAAGCCACCCTGTCTCTAAATAAAATATAAAGAGGGCTGGGGAATGTGGCTCAGTGGCCAAGTGCCCCTGAGTTCAATCCCTGGCCAAAAAAAAAAAAAAAAAGACTTTCTCTTTGGCTCTGAGCAGTCTGTCTGTCCGTCCGTCCTCAGGTCCTTGTGTGTTTACAGATTGCTTCTTGGATCTGTGAATGTTTTCCACCACATTTGGGAAGGGACTGGTCATTATTTCATGAAGCACTCTCCCCACCCCTTCCACAGGTATGCTGGACTACCTTCAGTCTCTGACTGCCACAGTCTGGCTGTAAGTCCGGGGGTGGGTGGGTGACGAGGAACTTGTGTACATTGATACAGCAGGAGTGGGAACTGTTTATTGTAGGACCGAGGGGTATATATACATTCCACACAGCTTATCTTAATTAACATRAACTAGATACAGCAGTCAACCAATAAGGAATCTCCACACTTAATGGCTCGCTGGCGTTACTTCACAAACCACTCCCTCTGCAAAATGCCAGGCGCCATCCTGACTTGTTTACAGACTCTAACATCTGACCTCTCTATTCTTCAGAGTGAATGATCTCTACTGACCTATCTTTAAGCTCACTGAGGTTGTTCTGCCACATCAACTCTGTTATTAAGCCTAGGTAGTGAAATTTTTATTTCAGTTGTTACCATTTTTAGTTTCCATTTGTTCTTTTTCAAAGTTTGCATTTCTCCATTGGGATTCTCTGTCTTTTCACTAACATCATGTTTATCTTTATGTCTCYGAATGTATTTACAGCAGCTGCCTTCAAGTCTTTGTTTGCTATATATTTATTATCTGGGCCCATTTGGAGTTAGTTTTTATTGATTGTTTTTAATCCTGAATATGGGTGATATGTATGCTCTGTTTCTTTGTAATGACTAGTAAGTTTTGGCCGAAGACTCGATATTGTAGATACATTGCAGTGACTTTGGAAATCTTTTTTTTTCCCCTGAGGACTGTTGGTTTTTTGTACTAGCAGACAACTAACTTATCAAGAATCAAACTGAGAAATCTATCACAGCTGCAGCAACTAATATTTCTGTTTAGTTTTTAAACTTCCAGCTCCTTTTTCTAGTTTTACTCGAAAGGTGTCTCCAGAATTTAGTACAGTGTCTGGCACAGACTAAGTTTTCTAAAATTATTAAATGAATATATGAATGAATAAATGAAGGCAAAGTATTTAATTTTCACTATATGATTACTCTACAGAGACTAATAAGTTGAGTAGCAACTTAACTAGGTTTAGCTCACTGATCTAAGGTCTCTACAAGTCTTAACATATCAACTCTGCTCTTGACAAACAAGAAAACCAAAGCACAAAGACATAAACTAGCTCAAGGGTCCAGTCTGATTTCAGAGTCTGTTCTTTTGTCCTGTACAACAGATTCCTATGAAATGCCACTTGGAAAACGTATATTCTAAAAGCATTTTTTTTTTATCATAAAAACAACAATGACAATGAAAAGACTTGAGGGATTTTAAGTTGTTATAGAAAAGGAAGTTGAAAAGATCTAAGTCAAACATGAAAAGGTTTAAAATGTAGGATAAAAGACTTTTAAAACATCCATTCTTCAAATAGAAAAGTTACTTTAACAATCTAGATAGAGAAATATCTAAATTCAGGGAATTTGGTTGAATTTGAGAATTTTCTTTCATAGATGAGTGGACATGAATATCTGATAATACCCTACTTTATAGAGTACATTTAAAAAAATTGTTTCTTTTAGTTGTAGATGGACACAATACTTTTGTTTTACTTATTTACCTTCCTATGTGGTGCTGAGGATCGAAGCCAGTGCCTCACACATGCTGGGCAACTGCTCTACCACTGAGCCACAACCSCAGCCCCTCTCAGACTTTTGATCCTTTTTTTTTTTGTCCTGGGGAGTGGTCCCGGAGTGCTCTGCCCCTGAGCTACAGCCCCAGACCACAGAGTACATTTTAATGTGATCTTACCTTTTCTTTTTGCTTATGATCATATCCATGGTTTGGAGCAGTCGCCGTTCTAGTGCTAGAATATCTGTGTCAGTCACATTCCTACAATAAACACCAACTGTCAGCATTGTTTTGGGGTCCTACCCTGTGCATAATACAAGCCAAACGGAGAAACCAAAAAACCCCCTAATTGTTACCAGTAATCCAAGGACTTGCTTTTTTCTGCAAAATAGTAAAATGACTATAATCTAAAATGCTTTCCCTGTCATTTCTTGTCATTCTTCTGGGGCTCAGGGTAGTAGAAGGCATCTAGCTTCTTAAGTCCTTCTTAGCTGTGATCCAGTGATCTAGGATATGCGTCTAAACTCACTTTTAACCTGGGATTGTACTCTACTGTTCCACTTCTTGGAGGAACTGGTTTCTGAAATTGGGATTAAATCACACTGCTGACCACCAGAAATGTTCTTTTAAACAATGTGAGTGGGGGATGAAATTTGCCATTTAAAAAATAAGTGAATGTGCCAGGCATGGTGGCCCAGACCTATAATCCCAGCAACTTGAGAGGCTGAGGCAGGAGGATTGCAAGTTCACAGTGAGCCTCAGCAACTTAGCAAGACCCTGTCTCCAAATTTTAAAAAGGGCTGGGGATGTGGTTCTTGGTCTAGTGCCCCTAGGTTCAATCCCTGGTACTGAAATAAATAAATAAAAGGACAAATAACACAATCAATGAAATTGATAAGACTTATTTGAAAAGATTTCAGGTTAACAACTACAGGGACACAAGAAGAGAAGATTAAAAAGGCAGAGTAATAGATCTAATATGATTTAAGTATTAAAGAAGAGGAACTGCACGTTACCTGAGGAAGTAGGACATGTACGTGTACGGGCAGTTGACAGCACCAAAGCCCGAGAGCAGAGCCATGAGAGTCACTCCAATCACACCCACCCGGCTGATGAGCTGCTCTATGGACAGGATCCCATGTTTTGGGCTGAGAATGGGAGATGGATCTCCCAGTTTCCAGAAGAAATACATAAAGGTCAACCATAAGAGACAGGAAAAAAGCAGTCTCTGTTTCTGCAGCAGTCGGATGTTGCTCACAATAGAATAGCCAATGTAAAAAGGCACCATGAAAACCAGGATCAGCAGAATTATACACAGGTTCATTTTCCAGTGA